TCAATTAGAATATCAAATGTAGTGATATTTTTACCTAATTTTCGTTCTATTTTTAATTGATGATGTAGAATTGTAGATATTATTATTAAAATATTTCCGTTTCATTTTTAATTCACCTTTACTATTGTTTAAAATATGCATTTACTATTGATAATGTAAAATATTATTATTGAAATATTTTTCTCCAATTTTTAATTTTCATTCCATTTTTAATTAAAATGCAATGATCTGGTCATTTTTTTTAGTCAATTATGGAGCATTTTTTTATTTGCAGTCAATTATTAATATTCATTTCCTTTTAAAATTTTCAGTCAATTAGTAATATTAGATTTATTTTCAGTCAATTATTTTTTTTTATTTTCAGTCAATTAGAATATAGATGTATTAATATTTTTACCTAATTTCCATTACATTTAAATTTGATGATGTAGAATATTATTAATGAAATATTTTCGTTCCATTTTTAATTTACATTTACTATTTTTAAAAATATGCATTTACTCCTTCATGATGTGAAATATTATTATTGAAATATTTTCTTTCTATTTTTAATATTCATTTACTTCTAAACAAAAAGGAAACAAAAAAAAAAAAAAAAAAAAAAAAAAACTTTGGACTTTTCACTCCTTGCCCACATTGATGGCAAGCAATTATGTTATGTTTGTAAACATTTTCAACAGCTCCTTTTTCCAAACATTTTCAATGTGAGATTAAAATGATCCCACATCATTTTTCTTATTTTTTTCTAATTTTAATTTTATTTTGTATATTGTTTTGTTTGGATGATTATGATGATTATTATTATTATTATTGACAATTTTAAAAAATTGAGATTGAAAAATTCACCAAAATTTTAACAAATTCGTCATTTTAACAATTATCTTTAATCAAAACACCAAAAATATTATTTAATAACTTAATAATTTGCTCTAAACTGCTAGAAACTAAAACAATACATACATTTTGGGTTAATCTTTCCCAGCCCACTAATAATTAATAAATAATAAATAATGAATAAATAAATAAAAACTAAAATAAGAAGACAAATCTAAGGTTTCTTAAATAAGAACCTTTTAACTTCTCAATACTTGCGACATTGATGGACAAACAATTATGTTTGTACCTCTTATATAGAGGAGTTCAAGAGCTTATCTTTTCAAACATTTTCAATGTGGGATCAAAATAATCTCATATCATTTACAAAGGGACGGGCTCCCCTTTGTCTTTTTTTTCTTTTTTTTTTTTTGGTTAATTTTAATTTTATTTGGATTATTATTATTATTATTATTATTATTATTGTTGTTGTTGTTGTTGTTGTTGTTGTTGTTGTTGTCGTCGTCGTCGTGTTGTTGTAATTTGATTATTTGGCAAATTCGACAAAATTTTAACAAATTCAAATGTTTAACATTTTATATTTAATCAAAACACCAAACATATTATTTAATAACTTAGCAATTTGCTCCAAACTGCTAAAAACTAAACCAATACATCTACATTTTGGGTTAATCTTTCCTAAACCCCCTAATAAATTTTATAAAAGAAAACTAAAATAAGAAGCCACTAAGATAAGGTTTATTAAATAAGAGTCTTTTGACTCGTTGGGCTTCAATAGGTGAACATATATTATATGTAACAGGTCAATCGAATAGTTATGTTGTGGAACCGTGTCCACCTTGCAAGGTGGACACAATTCTATGTTAATAATTACTGAATTATATGTTCATAATTATAAAGCTATATATTCATAATTTTTGAACTTTATATTCATAATTATTGAACTCTATATTCACAATTACAAAACTATATGTTCATAATTACTTAATTATATGTTCATAATTATAAAGTTATATATTCATAATTTTTGAACTTCATATTCACAATTATTGAATCACTATATTCATAATTACATAATTATATGTTCATAATTATAGAACTATATATTCATAATTATGAACAATTTTGGAACCGTGTCTACCATGCAAGGTGGACATAGTTTCACATCATAATTTGTCGGGTCAATAGTACTCAAAAATAAAACATGCGCATTTGGACTTCTAAATACTTGCCCACATTGATGGTCAAACAATTATGTTTGTAAGAGGAGCTCAAGAACTCCTCTTTCCAAACATTTTCAATGTGGGATCAAAATGATCTAGCATTATTTACAAATGGAGCCCGTGAATCCCTTTTGTCTTCTTCTTATTATTTTTAATTTTAAATTTAATTTTATTTTGTATATTGTTTTGTTTGGATTATTATTATTATTATTATTATTATTATTATTATTATTATTATTATTATTATTATTATTATTATTATTATTTGTAATTTGATTATTGATAAATTCGCAAAAATTATAATAAATTCGTCATTTTAACATTTTAACTTTAATCAAAACATCAAAATATCAAAATCAAAATATATTATATAATAACTCAATAATTTGCTCCAAACAGCTAAAAACTAATACAAGACATACATTTAACTAATACAAGACATACATTTTGGGTTAATCTTCCACAACCCCTACTAATAATAAATAAATAAAAACTAAAATAAGAAGACAAAGTTAAAGCTTCTTAAATAAGAACCTTTTGACTTCTCAATACTTGACCACATTGATGGGCAAGCAATTATGTTTATAAGAGTCTCATTGCTCCTCTTATATAGATGAGCTCTTTCTTTTCAAACATTTTAAATGTGGGATCAAAATGATCCCACATCATTTACAAAGGGTGCCGGTGGCTCGCCTTTGTCTTTTTTTTTTTTTTTTTTTTTTTTTTTTGTTAATTTTAATTTTATTTTGTATATAGTTTTTTTTTGGATTATTATTATTATTATTATTATTATTATTATTATTATTATTATTATTATTGTTGTTGTTGTTGTTGTTGTTGTTGTTGTAATCTGATTATTTGGTAAATTCGTCAAAATTTTAATAAATTCGTCTGTTTAACATTTTATATTTAATCAAAACACGAAAAATATTATTTAATAACTTAGCAATTTGCTCCAAACTGCTAAAAAATAAAACAACTCATATACATTTTGAGTTAATCTTTCTCAAATTTAAAAAAAAATTAAAAAAAAAAAAAAACTAAAATAAGAAGCCATTAAGATAAGGTTTCTTAAATAAGAGCCTTTTGACACGTTGGGTTTCAATAGGTTGAGAAAGTTTACATGTTACAGGGTCAATCGAATAGTTATGTTGTGGAACCGTGTCCACCTTGCAAGGTGGACACAGTTCTATGTTTATAATTACTAAACTATATGTTCATTATTATAAAGCTATATATTCATAATTTTTGAACTTCATATTCATAAGTACGTATTGAACTCTATATTTATAATTACAGAACTCTAAATTCATAGTTACTGAACTATATGTTCATAATTATAAAGATATATATGCATAATTTTTAACTTCATATTCACAATTATTGAATCTCTATATTCATGATTACATAACTATATGTTCATAATTATGTTCACAACACTATGTTCATAATTATAGAACTATATGTTCATAACTTTTTGAATTATATATTAATAATTATGAACAATTTTTGAACTGTGTCTACATTGCAAGGTGGACACATATCCACAGCATAATTTGTCAGGTTAATAGTACTAAAATAAAAAAAATAAAAAAATAAAAATAAAAAAATCTTTGGACTTCTCAATACTTGCCCATATTAATGGGCACGCAATTATATGTTTGTAAATGCCCCTCTTATATAGAGGAGTTTAAGAGCTCATCTTTCCAAACATTTTCAATGTGGAATCAAAATGATCCCACATCATTTACAAAGGGAAGCCACATTTGTCTTCTTCCTCTTTTTTTTTTTTTTTTTTTTTTTTTTTTTTTGATTTTAAATTTATTTTGTATATAGTTTTGTTTGGATTATTAAATTTGTTGTTATTGTTATTATTATTGTTATTGTTATTGTTATTGTTATTGTTATTGTTATTATTTTAATTTTATTTTTATTTTTTTATTATTACATTATTACATAGGATTTTTATTATACTTGAACAATAATATTATTAATTATATTATTATATTATAAAATATAATACCATACATAATGTTACCAATTATGCAATATTATCAATTAATAGATTTTTTTAAATTTCCATTAGACATTTACTTAACAAATAAGCTTTACTACAAAAGTTTGGGTGGGAAAATAAAATTGGATGATTTTGTTTTTTTTTTTTTTTTTTTTTTTTTTTTTTTTTTTTTTTGAAAAGGGATGATTTTGTTTTTATATAATAATAATAATAATAATAATAATATATAATATATATATATATATATATATATATATATATATATATATATATATATATATATATATATATATATAGATTAATTATTACCCTAATACTTAATTTATAATTTTGATTTTAAAATTCTTATTATTATTATTATTAACATTAACATTTGATTATTTTTATAAAAAAAAAATGTAAATTCTAAAATTTGTATGAATAAATTTAAACTCTAATCCTACGCATTTCCTTATATGATTGTATAATTCATTTTATATACACATAATATTTATTAAAATGAAAATAGGAAAATTCTATAATATAATTTCATTAATTATAATTTATATTGATAGATTTATAATTAAAAAATTACATTTAAAAATTTAAAAAGTTGCATTTAAATTTTGCATGATTATTATAGTGCATAAGTGTATGTATGATTAGAAATATTCATGTTTTGTTAATTTAATAATTTCATTTCTTTAATTATATTTCATATTTTATTAATTGTAATTTAACTAAATTGTCACAAATATTTCTAGGGAAGAAATCTTATATTTCTCAATTTCTTTAATTATATTAATTATAATTACCAAATATTGTGACAATTACCATAATAATTTTATTAATTATATTACTTATATTAATTATAATATTTGTAATAATTTCTTCCAAAATTTAAATACATTACCATAATAATCACACAAAATAATGAAAGAAAAATTATTAAAATAATTATCTTTAATAAAAATAAGGAAATTATATTAAAAATTAATTATATATTAAGATAAGTATAATTTTTTTTCATGCCAATATATTATACATAGTATAAAAATATATATGTATATAAATTACCATAATAATTACACCGAAAAAGGTAACAATATATAATTATTAGGTAATAATATTAATAATTAATTATTAAGGTAAGTATAACTTATTTTGTACTAATAATATTATCCATTATATATATATATATATATATATATATATATATATATATATATATATATATATATATATATATATATATATATACTTTTAATTTTATATTGATAACCATAGTCTATGTATATACTTTAAGAAAATATTCATTATTAAAGATTAAAGATGAGATATAATTTAAAAAGTAAATTATTTATTAAATTACCTAATATAATTGTCTTACTAATTGATTCAATGCTACTATGTATAATTCATATATTTGAAAACTTTTTAAATCGACATATCCATTAATTGCCTTAATAATTAAAATAATTGTTAGTCAATCAATATTCAATAGTACTAAAAGTATTATTTGAATTTTTATACATAAGATATAATATTATTAAATCGAAATAATTAAATAAAAATAATGTGTCTATATTACAAAAAATTTTATAATAGTAATTTTTATTGCATAATAGAATTTGACAATTATTAAACATTGTTTATGGTAATTATTGTATGACTTTTAATACTAAAATTATTAGGTAGAATTTTTATAATTAAGGTATAATATTCTTAAGGTAAAATATTGCTTATATATGGTTTACCCGTATTAACCATCACTATATTAAATTAATAAATAATTCTTTTAATATAATATATTATTAAATCTAAACATATGATTAATATTTATTCAATATTATTACGGAAGTATTACAATTATAAATTTTACTCCGTATTAAATTTTAAATGGCTTAGCATATCGAAGCAAACATGGTAAGTCAATAACATTATTTTACATTAGTAAAGTGATTTTATATCAAGGAATGTCAAATGAAGAATAAAATCAAAATAATACTCTATTGAAAAAAAAAAAAAGCCACAGTACTTAATCATTTTTTTCCTAAAAAAAAAAAAAAAATTTAAATGGCAAGAAAAACGTCTTGAAAGGAAAGACAAACTACTCTCTTATTACAAAAAATGTACACTTTAAAAACGGAGAAATTGAATCGAAACAAAGTCCAATGCTTTGATATATTGACAACTAAAAAATGCTTTTAATTTCATTTTGGTTTTTATTGTATTCTTAGTATGGTTCCCTCTATAAGTCTATATATATTTACATATACACATAATTCGTCCCTCGATCACAAAACTTTATCATCTTGATGAGCAAGGAACTCTTTTGCTTCCCGATCAATCTTTCTAGATCTGTATCTTCTCCACAAAAAAAAAAAAAAAAAAAAAAAAAAAAAAAGACAAAGAAATATATATATCAACATTTTTTCTTATGAACCACTTTTGTTGTTTAAAAACCATAAAATATAAAAAAATAAAAACAAAACAAAACCCAAAAAGAAGAACAAAAAAAAAAAAAAAAAAAAAAACTAAGATGATGAAAACCTCACAAATGTAAATCACGTATCAACCTCAACTGTGGAAGATCACATGATGATTAGAAGTCTATTGCTTCCCGGTCAATCTTTGTAGATCCGTATAGTATCTTCTCCACAAAAATAGACCAAAAAAAAAAAGAATATATCAACATTTTTTCTTACGAACCACTTTTGTTGTTTAAAAATCAAAAAATACAAAAAAATAAAAACAAAACAAAACCCAAAAAGAAGAAAAAATAAAAGAAACTAAGATAATGATAACCTCACCAGTGCAAATCACGTATCAACCTCAACTGTGGAAGATCACAGGATGATTAGAAGTCTATTGCTTCCCGATCAATCTTTCTAGATCCGTATCTTCTCTACAAAAATAGACAAAAAAAAAAGAAAAGAATATATCAACATTTTTTCTTACGAACCACTTTTGTTGTTTAAAAATCAGAAAATACAAAAGAATAAAAACAAAACAAAACCCAAAAAGAAAAAAAAATTAAAGAAACTAAGATAATGAAAACCTCACCAGTGTAAATCACGTATCAACCTCAACTGTGGAAGATCACAGGATGATTAGCAAAAATCAATAAAATAATTAACCTTAGTTGGGGTTGTGTATGGTCATATAAGGTGTATTTATACACAATGGATGAGATCAAAAGGGTTTAGTATTGAAATTATAAAATGGTAAGAGATCTCAAGAAAGGTAAAATCTTTAATATTATTAAAATGCCATATTTGTCTAAATATTTGATATTACAAAAATGCCTCTAAGTTTTGGGGGGAAAATTTGGCTAGGAGGATTTTACTTTTATATATATATATATATATATATATATATATATATATATATATATATATATATATATATATATATATATATATATATATATATATATATATATATATATAGACTATTAGATCTTTGACTTGTTAAAAAAGCAATATAAGTGTTTGGTTAATTAGTTTTTTGAGAAAAAAAATTATACCAAACAACTATAAGCTATCAGCTAATTTAAAAAACGCATTTCAACATTCACCTAATGTTATTAACTAGTTATACCATTTAATTAACCCAATTAACTACTAGTCATTTACCAAACATGGTCATTAATTTTCAATTAGATGTAATTAAATTGATAATTTTATCAATGTATTACAATTAAGTCAATTAACTATTTTTTATATAGTTTAAGCGTTTATTTAACTTTTTCTTCCTTAATACCATAGAAATATTATAAAGTTGGGAATAAAGTTAATCGCATAAATTTCGTCTACATCACATAAATAGCATATATTATAAGCAAGTGATGGTGGTCTGGTGGATGCTAGCAAAAGGTTCATCAAACGTTTGCAATTCGAGAAAATGATTGACTTTTTTTTTTTAATAAAATAATCAATAAAAAAAACCTTGTGCTAGTTTGCAACGGTTTTGAAGTTAACATCAAGTATTCTTTCCAAAAGGTTTAACCCCAACCTTAAAGGGCCCCCACACTCCAACCCAACCGAGCAGTTGGGAGGATATAAATTATGATAACTCAACTAAACATGAATCATAGAAGTTAGAACTGTGCTTACTGTGTACAAAGAGACCCTCACTAGTTAACATCAAGTATTGTTTAAGGGTATTGTAGTTTTATAAGGCAGCGGTATCAATAGTTCTTGAAGAGTTTACTCAATTATGAATGCTTGAATGCTTGGACAGATTTAATGTCATAGATGAGGAATGTGTAATATGTGGAAAATTTTGGAAAGTGGGTAAGGATTTAAGGAAGAAATGAGAGAACCGCCAATCTATCTATACTACTAATAAAAAGTAAAAAATAAAATTATATTTTTATAATTTTTCGTCAAATTACCTCACAAACTATATTACTATATAAAATTTATTAATTATTATGATAATTCAACTAATAATTAACATACCTTGCAAAGAGTACTATAGTACATGTGCGAAATTCTTGTGTGTTAGCGAATAATGTAGCTATAACGGTAACCAGATTAAATAATCACAAAGAGAATAATTAATTGCGCTAAAAATTATTTTCCTTATGTTTTATGTTTACAGAATAAGCAATAGGACTAGACACATGATTACACATTATAGTCCATCATGTAGTTTCACACATAAATATACAGATAAAAGTCCATAAAACAAAAAATTAGGATAATGAGATGTTAGAGCATCTCCAACCTATCTATCTCCAAAACACCAAATTTTTTCAGTAAATGTCACATCAGCAGGAATATTTTCAGCATATTCTCACACCAAATTTTATTCATCTCCAACCCATTTACACCAAAATACCAAATTTTTACAATAAAATAATTTGATTTTTTAATTATTAGTTCAAATTTAATTAATTTAATATAACTTGTGATGTAAATAATAATTTTTATTAACATTAATATTTTTATAACATTAATTATTTTAAAAAATCGAATTTAACAATATTTTTAGAAATTTAATTTATTCCACAATAATAATATAGCATACAACATCTAGTACATTAAATTACATATGTTGTATGTATTTTAACTTTTATTATGTTCTATGTTTGATGTATTTAAAATTTTAATTAATATATATTCAATATTAGTCTTGTTTCGATCATCACAATGAGATCTTTAAAATGGTATAAATTTTATTTCATTATACAAACTTTAAATATAAGTATTTAACAAAATAAAAAATTACATATAAAACAAATAAATGATACAATTGTAATTAGAAAAAGGCACAAGTGTCAAATAGGCTCATCTACTACTGCAAAGTGTTCAATTCCCACCATGAACTAAATTAACTGTCAAATAAGTCTATCTACCAGCTAAATTCATTCAATTGGCCTTTTTTACAGGTTACCAACAGGTTGCCAATTTAATTATTAAAATAAATAATTAAAATTTTTCAAAAAATAAATAATTAATTAAAAAAATTAAAATTAAAAAAATAAAAGGGAGAGAGAACAGCCACCGGCTGTCCTCGCCGGACAGCCGTGGCTGTTCTCTCTCTTTATTTATTTATTTTTTTAATTTTAATTTTTTTAATTATTTATTTATTTTTTGAAAATTTTAATTAATTATTTTAATAATTAAATAGGCAACCTGTTGGTAACCTGTAAAAAAGGCCAATTGAATGAATTTAGCTGGTAGATAGACTTATTTGACACTTAATTTAATTCATGGTGGGAATTGAGCACTTCGCATTAGTTGATGGGCCTATTTGACACTTGTGCCTTAGAAAAAAGAAACAAGGACAAAATGGTACATTTTCTACCCTTTTCCATTTGGCGTTACTGTTCATCAACGCCAAACATTTTGGCGTTATAGAGTTTTTCATACTCACATTGGAGTTGCAAAAATGGCGATATAGGGTTAAAATTTGAAGATTTGAAGCCCCATCGGAGATGCTCTTAATGGA